TAAATAGCTCAAATAATCTAGGAAGCAGGGTACTCATGCTTTTTTACAAAGTTTTCTGATATATTGGCCAAAGGATGAGGGGTAGACATCAATTTTTATGATGTGTTTTTAATATCTACTATAAATATACCACATGCAATAAATTGGATCTGTAGAAACTACTACTAACAGTGTAATGTTATTTATCAGCCCACTGTTTCTATATTGGATAGAAGGTATAAGTGGTTGACCATTTTACGTGATGAATGATTTTTAAACATAATTGCCCAATGACAACGGAGAAGAATTATACAAGATACTAGGACTAGTACTCTAGTCAATATTTGGTGAAAAAGGTGAAGTTTACTTTTAATAAATATGTTCATTTTATTTCACATGCTCTATCAAACAGCATCTTCTCTAATATATAAGTAAATATTTCTTATTTCATTTAGTTCAAATTTTGACAGTGGCCAGACCTATTGATTCATCAATATTTGCAACCTGCATGAATAAATTAGTTTTGAGTGTGAAAGACATGTTTTCTTTTCCCCCCACCAGAATAGTCAACTATGGGATCAAGGTTATTTTGAACTTTTCTGCATCTTTAAATACAATGTTATGTGTTGGTCATGTGTATATTAATTAATATTATCAGAATAAAAAATTGGGGGAATAAAAAATACATCCCTCATGTAATCATCCTGTGAAATGTGAGTATTCTCCAGGCTTTCTCTGCTGTCAGAAGAGCCTTTGTTATTTATGTTGGGTTCCTTCACTGGTCTCATCCAACCTGATATGGAAATAGTGACCATCTTCAGGCATTGGCCCAAATCTGGGTGGAGCCCAAACTAAGTCACTTTCAGGAGGAGCCAAAAGATGTCTTTGGTTCATAGCAATCCCTCCCTCATGATGATAAAGTCACACATGTATTAAAGATATAATGCAATCTCTGAAGGGAGAAGTGACTTACAAAGCATACAGGCATTTTCAGTCAAAAACTTACAGGCTCAAGTGAGTTGATGACATATCCATGACCATTCTAGTTGCTCCAGTGGAATTGATTTTATGAAGTTCCAAGTGACTGGTATAGTAACTTTCCATCTTTGGTTTCTGTAGAAGATTTATCTGCTTGTCATTTTTATTACAAGTATCCATGACCATTCTAGTTGCTCCAGTGGAATTGATTTTATGAAGTTCCAAGTGACTGGTACAGTAACTTTCCATCTTTGGTTTCTGTAGAAGATTTATCTGCTTGTCATTTTTATTACAAGGAACACTGCCTTACATCATGTATATTAGGTTAGCATAAATTCTCCTGTCTGTTCATTTAGCAGTTTTGACTTAGCTACAATTGTTAGTATATTTGCAGGTGTATGCTAGAATAAAGCCCCCAAAATGTACTACGAGATATTTTATATCATTATTCTCATTGTAATGAGATGGGGTTAAAGACATGTGAAGTACATTTCTCTCCCAAACAGTCTTTTTATGACACTATTTTCAGAATGAACTGGCCCGAAGTTATGTCTAATCTTTGTTGCTTCGCCAGTCACGCTCACTGGTAATGATCAGGACCAAATGGTGTTCCTGAGCAACTTCTTGTAGGTATTTGTCTTTCACCAGAGGGACACAAGAGCAGACTCACCTAATTAGCAGAATCCCCCCACCCCACCCCGGACTCGCTGTCTGTGCTTTTTGCACGTTAATAAAGCTGAGATGTGAACCAGGACCCCTGAGAGTCTTTCCCCATAAGTCCCCTTGTAGAAACTTGTGGTGTCTAAGCAACAGCTCAACTGAGTGAGGGGTGAGAGACCTCACCAGGAACTGTGCTCAAATGGTCTCAGCTGGGTGTTGCTCTGGTGCATTTGACGAATGGCATTTCAGAAACAAATGCCATGGCTGAAGAAATTCAGAGGTGTTTAACCCCGGAAGCTGTGCATTTCAGGGAAGGCTGTCTCTTGTAAGAAGCTAGTCTTCTGCTCCTCTGTTGTGTTAGAAAAATTCACAGTGCAGAGAGTTTGGGTAATTTTCTTTTTACCCCTGAAAGCTTAGGATAATTATTTTTCACAGCCACATGAACCCTGATGATTAGCATCTTGGTGGGGTTTCTACACCTATCTGAGTGACTTGGAGAGTCTAGGTAGTTGCTATAAGGGCACATTTATGAAGGAGGGACCTGGAACCACTTTTATTCAGTTATAATTCACTGAAATGAATTGTCGGTCTGCACTCAAGCTAGAGATAGGAATGAAAAAAAACCTTATCAGAGATCAGCAAAAACGGTGCCCTTTCAACAGACTAACCTTAATAGTTTACTAAATATAAATATTAAGAAAAAAAAATCAGGTTTTCATGATGTGTGACGGGCTCACTCTACTTTAAACCCACCCGTGAGTATTTGAGACATAACCATCTTAGGCACATGACATCAGATGATTCAGGCAGAATAATAATTTCTATTTTTACTTAAGTAAACTAAGGACAAACATGTCTACGTTGACCTGAATTATCTGAACTTCCTCAGTTCACATGGAAATTATCACTCCCTTTTAAACTTGTAGGTTTGTCATTAATGTCAAGGATAGAAAAAAAA